GATAAGTTTGAGTAAAAATTATAGAATTTGTTAGGTCTCAATTTTGATATGTTTTTTAAAAATTATTTCGAGTTTCTTAATTATTACAATTAAATTTGTAATATCAACTAAAATACCTAGTAAATTGATTTCTGCTGGGATTTTATTTTTACAAATTCGGGTCCAAATTGTAATTTTTATTATTTTCGCTTACGAAACAATGGGCTTGTGGGATAAATTGTAAATATTGCTTTAATATTTATGTAAATTTTCGGTTTTCATTTTCTCGGTATAGCAAAAATGTAATTGTGGAACAGCCGACTAAAACGAACACCCTAGTGATGACAAACTTTTAGATGAACCTAATAAGTAGATTGTTTTTAAGAAAGAAATGGTTTTTACTGGAACTTTTTGTGTTATAAATGAACATTGCTTTAACACACCTGTTGATGTCACAACCTGTTTTTTTTCTGGATATGTGAAGTATACATGCCTCGTTTTCGTTTATAGGACATCGTCCCCAGTCACCCTTAACCAAAGCTCTACGGAAAGCTCATTATAACAGAACGTATGGTTATGAGGGACCATAATATTGTCACATCTCGATATTTGCAAATGTTTATTATTTATTATTACGTAGCTGATAGGCTGTAAACTAGAGATGGGCTGGTATCCGGTTTGGATACGCTACCCTGCAAATCCAGCAATGCCAGGTAATTCTACCAGAGAAAAGCACCACCATTGGGATGACAATAATAAAAAACCTACCAAGTGAAAATTAGTAATTAACATTGTATTGAGATAGGTGGTTTATCCTAATTTGTATTTTTTATTAATTACTATACTATTTGTTATTTCGATACAATTGTTGTGTTTACTTTTTGTGAACAAAAATACATCAGCACGGCAGAACAATTTCTGATGCTTGTTGGTATATCAGGTTTTGATTACCGACAACTAATTATATTATAAGTATGATTTTGTCATCTTGCAGACTTTTAGTGTTTATAAACATCACAGGCTCGTTTCAACAGTTCCAACTCGACCCACTCGTTGAAATCCGCCAATCAAGAATTAAAATTTCATTGGTTTAGTGTTTAAACGGCTTTTTTACCTACCTGGTAAAATCTGAAGCATCTCTGTTGTAAAAATATAAAGGAAGACGCATACAATATGAAGTTTGCAAAGGACTACTCAAAGTAATTCGTTAATTCGCTTGTGCCAAGAAAGTTCCACTTTCCACTATATCTACACATGATTCTAGATTCTAAAATGTGGCTAACAGGGTCAGACCTTTCCTTCATAATCTAACAGTGAAACTAATGAAATATTTAACTTTACATTACCATATATCAGGGATGGCGAACCAATGGCACGCGTGCCATTAGTGGCAATATTTTGGGCACGTCACTAATGTTTCTGTCATTGATTCTTTAATCAAGGAATTTTCAGCAAAATTTTCTCACTTCAGAGAATTATCGGAAATACTAATACGAAATTTTATTATGTACCCTGATGTGACATTTGATAAAATAAATTGAAGAATCTGAAATGCAGCTGATGGATTTCCAGTCTAGTTCAATATGATTCAAAAAGTTGTTTGAACAAGGAAAGAGTTACAAATAATTGAAACAGAAATATCGACGGGTAATACAAGTGAAAATGCTAATAACAAAATTTTGGAAACATGGAATGCGATAACAAACACATTTAATTTTTTGAAAAAGCTGGCATATGATATTTTAATAATGTTTTCATCAACCTATGCCTGCGAGTCATATATTCAGAGATTAATAACATCAAAAACTCGCTGTTATAAACCGTTTGGTAGATGACTCCAGTTCGGCATGCATTCTGCTAAAATTAACATCTTACAACCCTAACATAAGTTATTTGTCATCTAATCTGCAAAAACAGAAGTCACACTAATTTTACTTTAATTTAAATTACACGTATAATTTAAATATTGCAAAATGTTCCTATTTTCTTGTAGAATTTTGAGCTGATATTATTAATTATCATTATTTTCCCGATAATCACAGAGACAAAATTATTTGATGGCACGTCTATGACCTGATTAA